TAAAAGTTTTGGAATATAATATCAGGGGTTTCAAGTTTATTTTTTTTATGGGTAAATATATTTAAGATTATTTGAACTTAGTTTACATTTTTTAAATCTTTTTTAAACAGTTCTTTCATGTTTGATAGCTTTTTAATTTTTTTTATTTGAAGAACTCCTTCTCCTCCGTTTATAACTTTTTGGGAAGTCAGATCTTGGCTTAAACAATTACCCAATGCTACTAACCAATTACCTGAAATTGAAACCATTCTCCCCTCGTATCCCCAACTTTTAACTACCAATTCCCCAAAATGTTAAGGTACGTGTCAGTGGCTTTAAAAAATAAAGAAGGTACAGATTATGGAGCCGTTGACATGGTTCCCGACTTTTGGGATTAATCAATTGCTCTGAAATTATTCGAGGCTCCATCAGGGGGCATTCCAGTGGAGCGGGAGGGGGCTAAGGGGCTTAAACACATCAGACCGTACAAAGCCTAATGGCCATAATGAATGGATTAAGCCAGCATTTACGCAAAAGCGTTGATATTTCCTCTGACCAAACAAAATATAAATCGAGGCAAATACATGGGGACCTGTCCATGATGTGGGCATAGCGGGGGGTCACAAGGGGGGCAACCAAGGGGGGAAGGCAGCTAACAATTTGCATGATCCTACTCCCCTCCCCCTCCCAAAAAAAAAACCTTCTCTTTCTTGCACTCCTTGTGGCATCTACTTAATTTCAAGTTGTCCGCGGAAAAACTTAAGCATATTTAACCGCATGTCGCTGATTTTAATGGGGGGATACTACGGGGTATTTGGTGGGTTAAGATTTCAAGGGGGCAAGAGTTGGGGGGCAGTGGCAACCTGAGCTTGTTCTCCACAGTCTCATTCCGTGGCGACGCTCACGCATATTCCGCATATGCAGACGACGCACGACGGGATGCAGGCGCCACTTGGTCAGAAGAAACAAAAAAAAAACATACAACAAACAAACAAAAAAAAAAACAACAAAATAAAATAAAACAAACACACAAATGTTGGTAGGGGGTTAAGGTGAGACAAGGGGTGGGGCAGGCATCGGACGGGGGCAGGTAAATGTTTCTGGACGAATGCCATTGCCCTCTTTGCAACCAGCTGACCTTTGCACATGCCACAATCTTTTAGAGAAAAAAAAACACACACAAAACTAAAACGAGGGAAACAAGGGTTAAGCTCTGGATCAATGAAAGGAATCAGGGGCTTATATATATATATTATTCTCCCCTTCAAGCGCCGGAGCAATTGAAAAAGCCTGTCAACATGGCCATCATATCGAATGACAAAAAAGCAAGAGGCCCCAAGAAAAGGCTTAATGAAAGGCGGTGAGATATAATCCGGGAGATGAAAATATACCTATAAACAAACATCCAAACATGCATAAAAATATATACGTATATATGAGAACCCATCCCATTGAAAAATGATCGATGATCCCACAGTTAACAGGAAAGATCAAACCCGCTGTTGGCCCAATTAGGGCCCAGTTAAGGTTTTTAGATGAAAAGGTCAATGGAATGGTCCAAAAATGGTCTTAACCATTGCGTGTGTGGTTTCTGGGAAATGATAGTGATATTATAGGGTTTATAAAATATGTAATATCAAAGCAATACTATTTTTTTTTCAACATAAGTCTGGAAATAATTGTTTTTCTAGAAAAATATAGAGTTTCTTACAAGGGTTCTGTTTTAAAGAAATATTTTAAGCTGAATGACTCTGAATATGTATAAAACGATATTTAATAATAATAATACCTTTGAAAGGACTTTTCAAGATGTTATTTATTCTTTAAAAATAGCTCCCTTTAAAAAAAACTTCCATTCCAACCTATCTGAAAGAAATCTTCTTCTAAAAGCCAAAAACCCCTTTAATCTTCTGCCTTGAAAAATCTTTAAATCTGTCTCCCATATATATAGACCTCCCCGGATATATCTTCTCCTTCCATCTGGACTTGCAACGACTCCTTTTCCGTCTAAAATGAACTTGTTGCCGTCAAAGTGTCGCCCGTGCGAAAGCGCCACAAAAAAAAAAAAGGGGTGATCGGAAAAGGAAATGGCAGTAGGGCCCAGGGGCTCGTGAACAACAACAAAATGTGAAAGAAGGGGGTGGACTCTGTGGAAAAGGGGGTCAGAGTGTCTTGTAGAAACAGGCAGCAGCTGCTGGACATCGTTTCCCAAAAGGAACAGGAGCAGGAGCTGGAGAAGGGGATGTTGCTGCCAGGCGATTGCAATCTCTGTGCTGCAGTTGTCGCTTCTGTTTCTGTGGCTGTTGCAACTGCTTGTTCCTCTGGTTTCTGGCTTCTTAATTTTCCGCCATTTGCTCATTTAGAGCAGAAACCAACAAAAAAAAAGAGTCACCAAAATGTGGCAAGACACTGAAGAAAAAGGATAAAGTTCGAAATGGATATAATTTGAAAGGCTGCTGAGTATATTGCTCGCTTTTAAGATATTTTGTTGCCCTCAAAATTGATATAAAAAGAAAAAAGGCTTGTTATTTTTTTCAGTGCAGAATTGAGCCTGAAAAGATCTCGTGCAACTGATAAACTTCATCACCAGATCCCCAGAATCCCTGCCAAGAAGATGAAGATGTCGCTTTTTTTAGGATTTCGGTTTCTTGGCCAACACACTTGCAACATACACAATTTAATTAAAGAGGCAACTAACCCGACTACTGGGCAACAGCAAACACCATCGATGCCATCGCTAGATATCGATTTGTTATCGGAAATCGACATAAATCTTTTGTCCATCGCCTGATGAGGAAAGAACCTCCTTAGTGACCTTGGATGGCCACTAATGAAGATCTCTTTGTAGCTTTCATTCTCGGGATATTTTATTTGTTTTTGTAGCCGCACTGTTGCATAATTCATTTTCAATTTATATGCCATAAAAGCGATAATGGCCGGCAATTAAGTTCGTGTTTCGTTGATAATTTTCCACATTTACGCGGCCATTAAAATGATTCCCAACGCATTTTTATCCCAGACCCTGGCCACTAAAAAGGCCACTTCACCGACAGGCTCCTCCATTCTCCATTCTCCGCTTATCTCTAGGGAAACAGTCTACTAGAGACATGGAGTGAGAGAGAAGGAATAAAAATGGGAAATGTGAATTAAGAATATATTCTAGATGAGAATGGATCGGATCGGATCGGATCCTACCCCAAGGTGTTAATTAGCATTATCTTAATGCACGTTCCGGCACACAGTTCAAATTGAATTATACATAATAATTTGTTCGCCGCTCTTTAAAGTGCAACTTAATGTTCGAGTGGACAGCCTGTCGCTGACCCCTGACCCCTGCTCTCTGCTCTGCTGGACCCTCGGACCTTCTCCAAGTTCTCCAAGTGCGCCATAAACTTTAGAGACCACAACAAGCTCGTGTTAAACGCTCATTAATCACATTAGATATGCATTAATTTGGTAACGAATTCCCGAGACTATGTGTGAAAGAGACAGGCTGCAAGGGGGGAGAAAGAGAAAGAAAAAGGGGAGAGGGAGTAGGCTAGTAATGGCGACACTCGTTGGGGGTACAAGACTTGGAGGGGAGAGCCTGGAGTGGCCAGAAAATTAATTAGTTAGAACTTAATTGAAGTAACATGGTTGCTTTTCTCTTTCCATTCACTAAATAAAATATTTATGTAAAGGAAGGGGTTTTTCTTATTTTATTTAAGGGGGAGAAATATTGAAAAAAGTCTGAAAAAGAAGGAACTTATATCTAGATTGTACAACTAAAAAATTCTTGTTGGTATGATATAAGAAAATTTCAAAAAGTATTTTCTTAACTAAATAAAAGTACGTTTCCTGAGTATATCCTTTTTGGACTTAAAACTTGTATTTCTTTGTAATATTTTTGATTATTTAAGCCTTATTTGTTATTTTCCCAATACATTCCTTTGCTTTTTCTTAGTATTTGTGTATATTTTCCTGCACATTAACAATCGAAAAGGACTACCGGTTGCTCTGAGATTTTTTGTTGCCTACTTCTGAGCGCAGCATACGGCAATGGCCGAAAATAAGCTTAAAACTAAGAAAAAATAATATTAAAAATATCAATAAAAAATGTATCATATTTATTTTTATTTAAAAATGCATAAAAAATATGTATAGTATTTTTGTGGAACACTTTTTTTAATGGAAATAATTTAATTCAGCCTTTAGAAAATTCTTTATATGAATCTTAAAACCAAATGTTCTTTTTAGAATTAGAAATTAAATTAGAAACCTATTTAAATATTTTCTCTCGAATATCAACACAATAATTATAAAAACAGGAAAAACAAGGACTCTACCGATCAATATTTTCTAATCCTTGTGCTGACTTTTATTTATAACTGTTGGCTTCCCAGTTGAGCTCCCAGAACGTGTCCCCCATCCCCATCCCCATCCCCTTCGAAGTGCCAGCAAGCCCCCAATAACTCACTTAGCCAGCCAACCGTTTCCACCCACAAATAAAAAAAAAAAAAACAACAACAAAGCCGTGAAGAAAAACAAACAAAAAGGCAAAAAAACACACCCGGCTAAGAGAGAAAGATACCGCTTCCTGCGAGTATTGGTGTTTATCTATGTGAAGTGCGAGAGTGTGTGTGTGTTGGCGAGAGTACCATAACAAAGAGGGCGGAGCTAATAGTGCGAGGGGTTGTTTGTTTTAGTTGTGGCTTTAACGCGGATAAGAATTAAATACTAACAGAAATCGAGAGAGAATAGAATACTATAGCTTCTGCTAGGATATATGTTTTTTTTTGTTTTGTTTGTTTTTGCTGGTTTGCAGCGCAGAGAGAGAGAGCTCCAGCCATGATGTGGGGCCAGCGAGAGAGAGCCAGTGTGCTCTCGCCAAGGGAGATACGACCATCCTGCTCGCACCTCCAAATGTGGGGGCTGAAACGGAGACGCCGACGCAGACGCCGGCCGAGGCAGAGCCCAGGCACGCTCTCTCTGGCCACGGTCTGGGGTTTTGTCATTTAAAAGCACCAACAACTAAAAGAATGTTTTTTTTCCGACCATATCGTTCGTCTGGTTCGCATCGCTGCTGCCGCAACGAATTTTCCTTGAAAACCAACCAAACCACAACAACAACAAAAATTAAGAGAGAAAAACGCGGCGGAAAATTCGTAAAAAAAAAGCCGGCTGGAAAAAATATTAATAAAAATTATATAAAAAAAAAAATAAAAATTAAAGCCCGTCGGTTAAACATTTATTGCTTTTGGATTTGTTTTTCTGTGTTTGTGAGAGAAAAGTGTAACCAAAGTTATTAAAATTCATATGCAGTGTTACCATTACCTTGGATATTACATGAAAATCTAAGTTGAGAATTATAACATAGAAGAAAAGCGGCAAGAAGCAGCAGAAGGAGGAATCGATAGTCCCTTTTGAGATAAAACGGATAATGCTGGTGCCGTCGGACATGATCGCGGCGCAGTCCAAGATGGTCTACCAGATGAACAAGTACTGCGCCGATCGCGTCCAGGTGCGCAAGGCCCAGATCCACAAACAGATCCAGGAGGTGTGCCGCATCGTTCAGGACGTCCTCAAGGAGGTGGAGGTCCAGGAGCCCAGATTCATCTCCTCCCTGAACGACTATAACGGCCGCTTCGAGGGCCTGGAGGTTATATCGCCCACGGAATTCGAAATTATCATATATTTGAATCAAATGGGTGTTCTCAACTTCGTGGACGACGGCACTCTGCCAGGATGTGCTGTCCTGAAGCTAAGCGACGGCCGGAAGCGTTCCATGTCCTTGTGGGTGGAGTTTATCACGGCGAGCGGGTATCTGTCCGCCCGGAAAATCCGCTCCCGCTTCCAGACACTGGTGGCCCAGGCGTGCGACAAGTGCGCCTACCGCGACATCGTCAAGATGATCGCCGACACCACGGAGGTGAAGCTGCGCATCCGGGAGCGCATCATTGTCCAGATCACGCCCGCCTTCAAGTGCGCCGGCCTCTGGCCGCGCTCTGCCTCCCACTGGCCCCTGCCCGGCATACCCTGGCCGCATCCCAACATCGTCGCCGAGGTCAAGACCGAGGGATTTGATATGCTCTCCAAGGAGTGCATCGCTCTGCAGGGCAAGAACTCCGCCATGGAGGGCGATGCCTGGGTCCTGAGCTTCACCGATGCCGAGAATCGATTGCTGCAAGGTGAGTTTCTCAGCCTGGTGGAGGTCAGATGCCGACGGGGCTTGATACTAGTTATTTGAGGGATTAGGGTTCATCCTGAATACTATTTAGGTCCTTTAGATCCTTTTTTCAACGAATACGGAGTCCATTCTTTGTGTGTTCGGTCTTTATGAAGAGACCCTCTCTTAAGCGGACACTAGATTTTTTCTTAACTGTTGTATTCTTAACTTGATATTTTTTTGGTTTAACTTCTTAAGCAATAGACCCTCTCTTAAACGGACACTGAGTATACTATTCCATTGGTTTTATTAGGATTTTCTTTTGTATATTTGGGCTTCTGTTTAAAAATCATAGACCCTCTCTTAAGCGGACACCACTTTTTTTTCTTATTTTCCTATTTATATATTAGGTTTTTTATTCTTAAATTAATAGACCCTCTTTTTAGGCAATTAACCGAGGAATCTAGCTTGAATTTAAATAGTTTTTTAACCAAATATACTATCTTTATCCAATTTTCAACCCAAACAAGATTATAAAGTATCCCTCTAAAAAAATGTATTCTTCGACAACGAATTTTTGAGCTTATAAAACTATTTTAAAGCTTGTTGAAATATTTTATTCATCTAAATATTTTTAAAAAGTCCTAAAATTGTATTAAAATTTAAGAAAAAACTCAATACTAAAACCTTGATATAAAAATATAGTCCACCTTTATTTCTCTCTGTGTAAAAAGCCAGTAACTATAGTGTCCCAATCCCCAATCAGTAATCAGTGACACACTTAAACTGAATTGATTTATTCCCATCAAATCAGCGACTTGGTCTTGATACGCCCGTAATTGGTTGTAAATTAAGCACTAGACGGGGGGAAGACTGTATAAATTTTGGAGATCGTACACTCAGATCGTTCAGTTAGAGGCTCCAGGTAATGGGGGACTTGAATTTAATTCTCGGGTCTACCATTTATTGAAGGCAAGAGAATAGCTATGGATAGGAGTTATATTTATGCATTGGATAGTAATTATTTGTTTATTTTAAAAAAATTATATATGCTAGAACGATATTTTGTTTCTAAAAATTATAGTATTTTCTACTAAATCTTTTAATAATTGTCATACCTCTTTAATCCTTATTATCTAATCCATGACTGATCAAATCAATGGATGCTTTTGCCGCATTTTGCTTGATGAGTTGCAAGTGGATTAGAGAGAAAGGGGCGGACAAGTCAACAAATGGATGAGTGAGAAAGTGGGGGGGATATGGAGGTAGTATGAAGGTAAACCCACTCATTGGGTTCCCGACTGGCAGACATCTCCGATTATCGGGGCGAGATATGATATGAGATACGACGCCGGAGTCAGTGTCGCCCGTTCGACTGCGATCATAAATCTGATGTTCGATCTCGCGGGGGGAGGCCTTCTTTCGGTTTTGGTTCTCCATCTTCCAGTCTCCATGAGTCTCTGTGTGTCTCTAGTTCCCCCAAAAACCCAAAAAAAAAAAAAAACCTAAGTCTTGGGCAACACACAAAAATCTGCTGATCCCCGAGAGATAAAACCCCAGAGAGTGGTAGTCTCCGGTAGTCGCAGGTTTTAGTTGGTGGGTCTTTGGGACTGGGACTCGGACTGGGCTCGTGGGTCTTCCAAAAGGGGGAAACGGGTTTCCATATGAACAATGAACTGGCAATGGCTGGGGCCATAAATAAATTTCTAAACGATTTTATAAATATTTTAAATCTCGGCGATTAGATAAAGTCAACAAATAAATAAAACAACAGCCCAAAGAGGGATGACACACACAGAAACAAAGAAAGCATAAAAAATCGAGTTAAAAAAACGTGGAGAGTTGGGGCCCAACAACAAAAACCTAAAAAATTAAGCCAAAAAACTCAAAATAAAGTCAAGAAACTGAAACAGAAGAGAATCAAACAAAAAAAAAGACAAAAAAAAACCAAAATTGAAAACCAAATCGAAATCGAATTCTAAATAAAAATGCCCTGACAACGATCTCGATTTCGATTTGTATCTGTATCTGTAATTGTATCTGTCTGAATCATATTAATATACATTCTTAAATTTCTTGACTCTTGTCTCTGTTTCTGATATTACCTAGTAATATATCTCTTTTTTTTGAGAATCTTTACTATAATTAGCACTGTCAGGCTAAAATAAGTCTCCTTGTCCACTTGAAGAAAAATTCAAGTGCTTTTTGGTTCGAATTGAAATTGAATCGGATCGGGTGCCAATATTATGGCAATATCGTTCAATATTGATTAGCCAAAATGTGAAACGGAACCGGGACGGACTCTAGGCCCGATTCTCCGACGGAGATTATCGCCGGCCGGAGTCGAGATTAGCTCGGGGGTGACATGGTGCCAACGTAGCCATGATTTATGTGCTAATAAATTAAGAGTCCCCTCTACAGGTACTTACCTCTACGGGAAATCGAAGCTAAAAAGCATAACTCTCTATATACTATGTATACTTGTACTTTTACTCATACGATTGATCAATCAAAGTCAAGGGTTTTCTAGAAAATAATTCGAAATAAAGTTAGAGTGTTGTTGAAAATAATTAATGAAAGTGATCTCTAATAAAATAATAAGGTTTATTTCACAAACTTAACTAGAGAACCTCAATCATAGGCTACCGATTTTTAAAGTATTTTATTATTCCCGCTTCCTAATCATTAAATCTAATTTTTGGTTGAAAAACACTTGAAATCGAGCTTTTCTAAAACCCCATGAATCACTTTTAAAATCCATAATCCTTTAGACCAAAACTAATCGACTGATCTACTTGAGATACATAGTTTTATAATGACCTATCGATACCAAAACCCCATCAATTAAAAGGCTTATCAAAAAACAAACCATACATTATATATTTTTCTAAAAAAAACGAAATAATAAATTAAACTTAACTATAATAATCCTGTTTTTAAATTCCAGGAGCCAGTCGTCGAAGGTGCCTGAGTATCCTGAAGACCCTGAGAGATCGGCATCTGGACCTGCCCGGCAACCCGGTGACCTCGTACCATCTGAAAACCCTGCTGCTGTACGAGTGCGAGAAGCATCCCAGGGAAATGGAATGGGAGGAGAACTGCATCGCGGACAGGATCAATGGAATATTCCTGCAGCTGATATCCTGCCTGCAGTGTCGCCGCTGTCCGCACTACTTCCTGCCCAATATGGATCTGTTCAAGGGCAAGTCCCCGGGAGCTCTGGAAAATGCGGCCAAGCAGGTTTGGAGACTAACACGCATAATGCTGACCAATGTCCGGTGCCTGGAAGAGCTGTAGAATCAAACAAAAACAGGATCAAGATGATCTAGAGAGGATCAGAGTTCCCCTTGCCACTAAACACAAAATTGGAATCCCTTCAGATCTGTTCAGGGGCTACCAAATAACGTAATCTTTGGGGTTTTATTTTCTTATTTTATTTGTTATATATATTGAAATATATATATGTATTTTTCTGATGACAGATCGGGGGGATATATATAGGGGGGATCTGAAGGGTCTGAGACAAAGGAGAGCAAGGAAATTGTAACCCAAATACTATTTGATATTTCGCTTAGATTTTAAAATTAAGTTTTAGGTGCTTTCGAAAAGTATACGCCGCTTAAAGAGTTTCCTATAATTAGTGCATATATATAATATAAAAAATAAAAAATATATATATACAAAATATATATATATTTAGCCTAAAACCTAGAGTTATCCCATACGCACAAATGTTTTTTTTTTATAAAAATAAATTTATATATTTAATATAACAAAGCTAGCAAAGCGCAGTGACAAAAAAAAGAAACAGAAAAAATTAGCTAAATTAGTTTTTTTTAAGTAAAATGGAAAACTAAAAACTGAGACAACCGATTTCTGGAATATTTCCCGTCGGTCTTTAAATTATTTATTAAATGTTTTTTTTTTGCCTTCTTCTTGTGAGTTTAGTCAATAAAATGTAAGTTTTTCATTGAAATTCATTTTGGTTTATGTTTCTTGGGATTTATTTTGAAATATTTTAAAGTATAAAATATATATTTTTGAGAGCTACAAGGTAAGTATGAAAAAATATACACATTATTACATTTTTTGGTGTTTTCAAAGGTTTCATTTTGAATCTATAAGAAAAAGGCATTAGGTCACACTGCATGCAGAAAGTGTGCCCCTGTCCATTGTTCATTAAGGCATATGGTAAATAAATTAAGCTTTTCCAGGTTCATTTAAATTGAAAAAAACTTCCACAAACTAATAATTAATTACCCTTTCTATTCCCTTAACTATTTATAGCTAAAATAGTTTCTTAAATGACAATAATTTCATAAAAAATATTTGCTGTCAACGGAGTAACTTTTCTTGTGCCAATCAGGGTCTCGTTTGGTTGATTTCTTTGATGTCTTGCCGGTTTTATTGATAGGCCACGATTTTGTATTCGATTTTCGATTTCTGAAGAGACTGTAGACCGTAGACTCTATATGGCAAAATGTCAGAAAATGACATTTGGTGCTCCGGCTGACATGCTGCGCATTTTAATTGCGAATTAACAGCAATTCCGCGGACAGCTAACAATCCCAATAAACTAAACACAAATTATGTGGCAGAAATTCCCTTGTAAACCAGTAAACTCAATAAAAAAAAAAAACTGAAAAATAAATAAAAGAAGAAATACAAAATATGTTGATACAACATTTTGATCACGTGTCGGATTCGGTTTCGGTATCGGTTTTCAAGCCCAAACGGACATAACATTCAAATTAAACTTTATGTCATTCATAAATTAAATAATTTAATTTATTTTCTCTTGTTCTGCAATTTTTTTCGCTGTTGTCTGCGGCTTTCCATTATTTTTAACCTTAATTTATATTTTATTATGGTCCCCCCATTGATTTATGTCTTTGGCGGCTTTTGTATTTTTCCAAGTTGTAAATTACTCTCAAAATGACAATTGCAAATGTCAAATGGGAGTTAAGAATGACATTTTTTTAGCCGAATACTTAAATACTCTTGTTTTTTTGTTTATAAATTACCTATTTAATTTTTGTGTGGGCGTCTTCTTTTGGTATTTTATGCCATTTATGTCAAAGGTAATTTTATATTCAGCTTGGAATTTATTTAAGGGGTTATATACAGTTGTACCGCGCAAAAATATGGATTTTTATCGATTTTTTTTTGACACCATAGAAAATATTTATGAAAAATGTTTTACCGACGTTGTTTAGTACATGTTTCTATGTACTTAATTAAATTTTTCATAAAAGATATTACATAACAAAAATGTTATAGCCGAATTCCCGAATCGTCTTTTTCGATGGTGTCTTGCGGTGGACATGATTTCTCGAAAACGGTTCATCCGAAATCCAAAATTCAAAAAGTTTAGTTAGTATATTGTATTATCTAGTCCGTGAACGAGGGATTTTTAAAATTTTGATTAAAAAAAAAATGGCGACGTTTGAAACAAAAAATTTACTTTTTCAAGGTATAAGATTTTCGTTTTTTGTGCTTTAAAAAGGGAGTTTTCAAAAAAATGGAAAATCCCTCGTTCACGGACTAGCTAATATCATAATAAATATGTGGTCAAAATTTGGTGTTGATCGGATTAGTAGTTTTTTAGTAATCGTGTCCACCGCAAAGGTAATTGCCCAAAAAAAAGATTCTGAGATAATCGCGTTTAAAGTTTCAAGTTTGTTCAAGTTTTATAAGCAGATGGTGTGCTATAAATAGCTACAGCTTCGGATCTAATGCTCCGATCGTTATCAATTTTTGTGGGAGTACACCCAATAGAATATACTTAAAGAATATGCAATAAAAAAAAAATCGATTTTTTCATATATCACAACTGTATATAACCCCTTAAATCAAATCTTTTTTTTTTTTGTTTAAACCGCCTAGTTGTTCATTTAATGAGTTGTGTTTTATTGGTTTTCATTTGCATTTTTATGTGGCGCTTTTTTTTCTGGCTGTTTATTCACTTGTTTTGTGAAATTGTTTGATCTGCCGCTTCCCACACAAATTAAACCATAATTAATAAATGATAATTTGGCACAAAGACTGTCAATCCGCACATTTTTCCCCCCTACACACTCTCTCTCTCTGCCATTTAATTATTCCATTTCCATGCAATTTATATTCGCTTTTAATGTCCGCAAAAGCAAATTTTATGAACATCTCATAATCACATTTTAAACACACAATTTGTTATGAAACGTGAATTCAACATATGGCCATAGTAATTAACAATATATTTTTATTTGTATTTCAACACCAATTGGTTGAAAGTATTATTGGGGATATGTTAAGAGGGAATATTCCTCATAAGTTGTTGTGGGTATTTTCTTGATACATTGTTTACATTTCGAAATAATAATATTCTTGTTTTACCTTTAAAACAAATCAAGGCATTTATTTATTTGCATTCTTAAACTTTAAAATTTTTCTTCACTCAACTATGTATACCCCAAAATTTTTATAAAGAGCTTATCCTCTTTCATTTAACTAATCCAACACAAAAAGGTTTCAACGTTTCAGCTTCCAAATCAAGTCGTGCGTGCAACACCATTCAGATCATTCTTTCAGATCATTGCGTGACAAATTCTGGAAAAAAAATTAAAGAATGAGAAAATGTATATATATATATATATATATATAAATCTATATGTACTTTTAAAGGTATTCATATTTTGCTTAGGCACGGCACTTGAATTGGCGAAGATTTCCGCACGCCTGTCATTCATCCTGTTGTTTTGTCTTTCTCGGGCGCGTCTGCAAATCAAAACAAATGTTTTATTTAAATGGTTAATTTGATGAGGATAGTGGATCAGGGGGCGGCGGGGTATGGTAGCATCTGGGCCAGCTTGTTGGCCATGGCCAAATGAGCAGCTTACAAGGAGATGATGAGGCCCAGGGAACACAAATGGCTGCCAAATCGTGAGAATTGCATTTGGAATGCCACCAAAGCCAAAGTGGTTGCGATGGGATGGGATCCTTGGATGGGGATCAGGGCACCTGGTTGGGGATTTTAATTTTCTGGCTTCAATCAAACTCTGGTAACAAACTGGCTAAAGGGGGAAGCTGGAAAAAGGCAGCAAAGGAGGTGGCAGCCACGGGAGAGGAGAGGATCAGTGCATTAAACCCTCAAAGGCGCTGCAACATGGAATGAGTTTGTGTTGGCACTTGGAAAAATGTTGAGGATCTAACCACCTATGACTATATTATCTAAAAATACTGCATATATCATTGTTTGTTTTAAGGATTTTTCTTTAAATAAAAAGGAATTATTGTTTTTTTAATTTCAAACCTCGCTACCTCGCGTGTTCAAATATTTTTATAAATGTATATTCCACATTCAAAAACACAAATAAGATTTTGAACAGTGGAAAATACTTTTTACCATGTTTCAGAATTAAAGGATGTGAGGTGGCATGGATCATGAGGCATGCGGCATGAGGTACAGGGGGCAGGCTAAAAGAGGCCTCAGATGGAGGGCAAGGGCGGACCGGAGGCGACGACGGCGCTTGCCACTTAGCATAAACGGAAGACCAGACCCCTTTCTATGGCCCAGACCAGATCCAGGCCCAGAACGAGGTCCAGAGTCAGGTCCAGGTCCAGAGCCCCAAACCAGGTCCTCTCGTTCATGGCGAAGTGAGCCACGACCTGTGTGGCCGTGGCATCAAGTTAACAAGCTGTAATTAGAGCCTCTTAGCCTGTCATCGCCAGCGTGCTTGATTATAGCCTTTTGACAAAAAGTAAATATTAATTTAATACCAACCAGTCAGCCAGTTAGCCAAGTTATAGCCAAGTGAGCGCCGCAAGGCAGGAACTGAGCCACTCATGGCATCGGAGGATCTACACAAAAAACGGAAACACCTGAGAAGCAAACTCCACCTTAGAGGCTGATAAATTTCACCTCAAACATGATGTTTGCAGTTACAGGTGAGTATGAACTTCTGACCCCTCCGATAGGAAGAGCTCTGCCTAAACATTCTTTGATCAGGGAATCGCATGCCTCCATTCCTCATTCAAAATACTGCCTAAAGATTAATTTTAAATTTTTCGGTTTTTTCCAAGGGGTTAACCTTAATTTGAGAGATTCCTTATCCAAAAACAATGCACAAGCAACTTACCGAAAAAAACAATTTGTCTTCTCCCATTAGTTTCCCCCATTCATTGAGTGCACGTCTTTCTACCTCGGCCTCCTCCATTCCGGGATGGTCCTGTTTGTAATACTTCTTAAAGTTCTTGTAAGCCTTGGTCTCCTCAGGCCCAAGCGGCTTAGCGGTTGCAGCTCCCATAGCGAATCGGGTTTTTTAAAGTTTTACAACAATTTTCACAACTGACTGTTAGCTGAAATATGTGCTATTGTAGCTCTCTCTTAATAATGAAAGATTCGTCCCGGCCTCCTTAACTCAAAGGTTTTCAAGCCATATAAAAATTCGATTTTCAGCAGCGTTCTCCTCCTGGCACACTGATTTTTGAAAAATTATCATGGAAATGGCAATTTTCATTTTCAAATTTCCAATTTTGTAAACCCCTATAAAAATCTATTTTGCTTCCTTCTGATAGGTATATCTCTGCCAATTCGTATTCGATTGAGAAACAGGATACCATTCTGTGATCAGGGAACCGCCTGCCTCTTTTTCTCATTCAAAATACTGTCTAAGGATCAATTTAAAATTTTTCGATTTTTTTCTAGGGGTACCCATATGAAAATCGCAATTTTTCGAAATTTACAAAATTGCGATATTTTGCTTCCCTCTGATAGGTATATCTCTGCCAATTCGTATTCGATTCGGAAACAAGACCCCATTCTGTGATCAGGGAACCGCCTGCCTCTTTTCCTTATTTAAAATACTGCCTAAAGATCATTTTAGAATTTTTCGATTTTTTTCAAGGGGTACCCCTATGAAAATCGCAATTTTCGAAATTCAAGAAACAAGCTTATAAAATAAGCATAAAACTTTCAAATAAATGACAAATTAAAATTCTAAAAATCCTGTTTAGAAAAAGCAGTTTCTTTTAAAGCATCTATTTAATAAGACACCTAGTTAAAATAAAGATAAACATCTTGATTAGATCTTGATTGAAATTAAATTTATATTTTTGATTTTATAATGATTTCAACTGTAAACTTTATTCCCACATTATATATTTTTCTCTCTGTTTTTTTTTATTCATAATTCAAATGAGCTACCAGTTAGGAATTCCTGGAAATCATATCAAAATGCAATGCATTTATCGAAGCCACTAATCCAGTGATATCAGAAAACCCCTAACCCAAAAAAAAAAAGAACCAAGAAAACCCCAATTTGAAATCCAGTTCCAGCTCACGTTGTCGTACGCCCTTCTTTTGGTTTTGTTTTGGCCCTTTTTTTTGGTTTTTGGGCCAAAAACAATGGGTTCAAACGGCTGCGCTTCAGCGGAAAACAAAAAAAGCCATTGAGCCCTAAATCAATCAAGGCCCAGGCGACATGTCAACATGTTTTTTTTTATCCAAGGGGGTATACATTGGTAGGGAGTACGTATATATATATCTCTCAAAGGGGGGAAGCAGCTAAAGCAAAATGTCAACGTGATCGTGGCATCTTGAAAAGTGCCGCCGCCTCATTGAATTGGCCATCTCTCGTCGCCGAAGAAGGCCAAAACGGGATGGCCACGTTCTTGCCTTAAAAAGGAAAATCCTTACATTTTCGGTCTCCTTGGGTTATGTGCGCGTGATATCTGAACTACGAAATTGAGATCGATTCTCGAGAACGTGTCTTCAATAATAATTAAAACTTGGCCCTTTATGAGACCTCTTAGCTCCCTTGGACCTCTTGTGGCTCTGTAACTATAAATTATGATATTATTTGAAATTAATGTTAAGCAAAATGACATCGACGTTCACTTGTCCGCAAGATCGTAAAAAGCAAAGAAGATCCGTGGAGATCGTCGATCGTCACAATTAATATTCCAATCAGATGATGGCGGAACACATGTCTCCGAGTGCCTTCAACTGCAACATATTCTTGGCCAAGATACTGAGAACAATCGTGTTTAATTTTGTTAATTTTATAATTTAGTTAATTTTTAAAGATACTTTTAGTTTAGTTAATTTTTATAGATAACAATAAATATTAAATAAGTAATTGATTTATTTTAAATATGAATATTTCTTTAAGTGCAAAGAATCCAAAGAAGGTTCAGATTCAAACTTGGAAGGCGGTGGCGCATGCGCAATGAGTATTCCCACAAAACAAAAAAAAATTTAAAGAAATGCGATTCCAACTTGGGGCTATGGAATATATATAGCTTGGAGTATGGACTATGGACTGAGGAGTATCATAAGTATCGGAGTATCTGGAGTATGGAGAATCAATCTTGGATCGTGTCGCTGATTTGTTCGCTGTCATAATTCAATAAAGTAGTCAAATGTCAACGGACTTGGGCTACAAAAAAAAGAAACCAACTCGTCAGGCTGTCATGGATCTCCATGAAGGGAATTTCTGGGCACCACACACACGCACCACTGCACCGCACCACCACCGACTGCAGTGGGTTAATGGCCATAAACGCAAATCCTCTTAGCCAGGCTTCGGTATCACAGATCTGGTTATTAATTCATCACATGACTTTCCCGACATGCGATGGGAATGTCAAGTATTTGCGGATTTTATTTAAGAGCTTATAATATTCAATAAAATATGTTGAAAATTGTGGTAATATCTTAAGCTTTTTGTTAACAATTTAAAATAATTAATAACCCGTATACTCTCCGATCAGTAACTTATCACCCCCCTATAGTAAAGTCAGATATCTAGTCCCACTGATTAATCTATTTAACTTTAAGATATAAAATCTATTTTAGCCAAAAAAGAAATTACATAGAAATTTAGTTTGGATAGCGTATGGACCAGAAACTAAACCAAAAATTACCATATGGGCTTAGATGATCCCCCAGATACACGATCTGTGTGTTGGGAAAGGCCGTGGCTTTTTTTTTGTTTTCCACGAACTGGATATCAAATGGACAGCCTGATATATGCATGTACCGGCCAAAATAAACGACTGTGATGATGGCCAAAAGGAAGAGGGCCAAAAAGGAAAAAGAGGGTAACGACGAAGGAGTATAACTGGCAAAGAGGCAAAAAAGACAAACGTTGCGGCGACAATGCCAGGCAAGTGACAAACGTTTAGATGGATGGATCGTTCTTCATTTTGTGGGGGGGAACCCAAACAAAAAAAAAACTATATATACACTATATATATAAAAAAAAATAACAGAAAACGAACCGGACTCTGAGAAAGGCCAGCGAATAAACCAAGCGAGAAAAAAAGCGACGATTGCACATAAATTATATTCAAATTTCTTCAAGATCTAAAAGATATATAAATACGAGAAAAAAGATACAAGCACACATGCTGGCTGGCTGGCAACCCCAGAAACTCAAAACCCCAGAACCCAAAACAGAAAACCCAAAAACAAAAAACCCCGAAACCCTTAAACTCCAGATCCTTTTCCCTGTTTGGTTTTCAATTTCTGCAGAAAATGAGATCCATCTAGATATATATTTATATATTTATATATCATTAGGATACTCCTCATTTCCCTCACACCTCTTAAATATAAGCTAAAAGTCTATAATACTATAATACCACCTGGCTTCTTAACAAAAAAAATTATCAAAAAAATTAAAATTCAGCCAACAGCTTCGATTCAAACGGCTCTAAACAAATTGTAATGGGCTTGAATACTATTTAGATATGGCCAGAAGATCTCGCCCAAAAGTGCCACTGATTGATGTCAATAAAGGCCGAAAACAAAAGAGTTAACAGCTAGGCGATACAGTGGTAACTCTATTTAACAGAAATCAGGTTTAATTACCAGAAGAGAGTTCTATGGTTATTTAAATAGGGTTTTATGGAATTTTAGACAAAGAATAAGGGTTTGTTTAGAGCTAAAGGGAAGAATAAAGGTATTGGGGTCTTAAAATTTAAGGTTTGTATTTATTAAATCATATAATAAAATATTTTAAGATTTTTGAAATTAAAAAAAAATTAAAATCTGAAAACTACTGCAAAATGTTCTCAAAAAAACAGAAATTTCTTAAGCAAATGTATCTGTATCTTGTCTTTAGATGTTTAGAAGTCATATGTCCCTCTGTTTTAGCCATATTCTCTGGTATGGACCAGAAACAATGCCAAAATGTTCTGTTCGTGTTTTGCTTCTAAACGAATTAGTGGCAGAATCCCGAGATTTGTCTAATTGGAGGCGGCTAGACGGGGCGCTTTGATGTTGCCACATGTCCGTCAGTCATGAGTCACGTGTGGCAAGTGGGATGACGACAACAGATAGGTAGATACCAACATATATACAAAATATATCTATAGGAGGTATAATATATAAAATATATATACATATATATATTTTTCGGGTAGGAGAAGGTTTGTTGGCCTGTCTGGTTGCCTTTTCTGCCTTGGAAGTTGCTGTCAGAAATTGCCAACTGGCACATTAATCCACGCGACATATTTATGAGAGTGTGTATGGGTATGTGTGTGTGTTTGTGTAGTAGTGTGTGAGTGTGTTGTATCCGTAAGATATAAAGATATCGGATTGTCGGGGAAACATGGACGAGGGTTGCTCGTTGTTGCTCTTTGCTAAATGAGTGCACATTTCAGATAAATTATTGCACACAGCTCGTACGCTCGAGATGGCAGCCCGAAATGTATTTAACAAATTAAATTTACACAAACACAGAGATACACTCGCATACATACATACATGCAGAAAAGATACAAAGATACTTGCCACAAAGGGAGCCCGCGAGTGAGAGAGAGCTAGTGAGAGGGATAGGTAGTTGGAACTTCAAAGAGCGCGCCGCTGCGTAACGGCGGTTGAAGCTAAAAGGGCGGAGTCTCTTCTCCGAACCAACCAATCAGCTCGAAGCTCTCTCACAGATACTTCCGATACTGAGAGAGAGAGCGAGCGCACGTAAGACTAAAAGATACAGATACGCAGATACAGGCAAGGGATTAACAATTTTTTTGGTTTTTGGGGGAAAAAGTATCTCATCGATTTTTGTTTTTGGCACGAGACTTGAAATGTCACGTGACTAAAAGTATCTGTATCTGTATCTGGCCGTGCATCTGTATCTGTGATGGCGGCTGCATTTGTTAGATGCTATTGCCACTTCACTCACGAAATACCGATTGCAATACCGACACTGTGTTGCACTTTTCAGTATCTTTATCTGCCGAAGCTGTAAATATCCGCGAGATTTACAACGCCTAGCGACGACGACGGCCCACAGACTCGCGTATCTCTATCTTTTTTTTTCAGCTTCTTTTTTTTTGCGCTGTATCGACTATACAGATACTGATTCGGATTCGGAGTCAGAGCCAAAAGATACAGGCATTCGATACGAAAGACACTCGCCAAACGCATCCCCGTAGCGGCTAATTCGCCATAATTTTATTTTTCCAATTCTGATTCGCCCGCTAAAAGATACAGATACATTGGCGCTTACATAGATACAGATACGACTGCGAATACGAATACGCATACAAAGTTCAAGTCCCAGATACCAGATACATTTGTGATCATTGTTTGCCGCTTCTCGGCCTGTCACCGTAACTCACAATTGAATTGTTCCTTTGTTCTGTCCAGCGTTTTCGAGTTGCAAGTTGCAAGTTGCACATTGCACGTTGCACGTTGCACGTTGCTCGCTGGCCGCTGCACGTTGAAAAGAAGAGTTCGAAGAGTTGCAACTACCGAATTTCGCATAATTGGCATTAAGACAAAAGTGAGGCCGTGCCCTTTGTTGTTTACCGCCAGACCGAGTGTCGCCTTTTTCGAAACCGAGATACAGATACAGGAGGGCGAGCCAAAAGATACAGATACAAGCACAGGCACAGTCACAGATACAGATACGAGAATGTTAGTGCCGCCGGATATGATGGCCGCGCAGACGCGGATGATCTATCAAATGAATCGATTCTGCGCCGAAAGGGTCCAGGCCAGGATGTTCAAGACGGCCACCGCCATCCGCGAGATCTGTAAGATCGTCCAGGACATCCTCAAGGAGGTGGAGCTGCAGGAGCCGCGCTTCATCTCCAGCCTGGTGGAGTGTAATGGAAGGTAAATATTGGGCCTTTAATTTTAATCCTGGCCAAGCTATAGACTCAAGATTGAAGTAATAAAACACCGCACTTTCATTGGATTTTTTTATAAAAATCTTTATTAAAATAATTTCATACATATCTTAAATCAAAATATATATTAAATTTAAGCACTAATTCTTAAAAATAACCCCCATATCTAAAAAATATCCCAAATAAATAAAATATCCAAACTAAATCCTAATTAAATCCATGATTCCTCTTGAAATCTTGTTAAATCTGCCACTTGGATGACTTGACGGTTGGTTAACTTGGCTAACAATGACGTTGCACTTTGGTTATAATAATGCCCCTACCAGCAAGAAGGTGCGGAAATAAGGGGTAACAGAGGCAGTAGACCGAGCAGGAGCCGCGATGACAGTCATCCGAGTACTGGAGTTACGCAGATGCCGCTTTGAAGTGTCTGTGGTTGTCTAGAATTAGCTTTTATTACCTTTAATAGATTAATTTAATTAAAATTAGATTAAATTATATAAATTTAAAATAAATATTTACAGATTTGAGGGCGTGGAGGTGATATCCCCCAACGAGTTTGAGATAGTCTTGTATCTCAACCAGATGGGCGTCTTTAACTTCGTGGATGATGGCACCCTGCCAGGATGTGCTGTCCTGAAACTCAGCGATGGCCGCAAGCGATCGATGTCCCTGTGGGTGGAGTTCATCACAGCGAGTGGCTATCTGTCCTCTCGGAAGATCCGTGCCCGTTTCCAGACTTTGGTGGCCCAGGCCTGCGACAAGAGCGTCTACCGGGATCTGGTCAAGATGGTGGGAGACACCAGCGAAGTGAAGCTCCGGATACGGGAGCGTTTTGTGGTCCAGATCACGCCGGCCTTTAAGTGCTCGGGCATCTGGCCGCGTTCTGCCGCCCACTGGCCAGTGCCCCATCTCCCCTGGCCGCATCCCAATATCGTGGCCGAGGTCAAGACCGAAGGATTTGATCTTCTGTCCAAGGAGAGCGTTATCCTTCAGAGCAAGAACAACAATAATGCCGCCAGCATGGAGGGAGATGCCTGGGTTCTCAGTTTCTTCGAGGCGGAGAATCGTCTTCTGCAAGGTAAGAGAGAAATCTTTAAAAAATCTAAAGCATGTCCTGCTATTATCCTTCTTCCAGGTGGGTGTCGTCGTCGCTGTTTGAGCATGCTTAAGACCCTGAGGGATCGGCATTTGGAGCTGCCCGGCAATCCCATCAGTTCCTATCACTTGAAGAATCTCCTCCTCTACGAGTGCGAGAAGCATCCGCGGGACTTTGAGTGGGACGAGAGCTGCATTGCCGACAGGATCAATGGCATATTCCTGCAGTTGATATCCTGCCTCCAGTATCGACGATGTCCGCACTATTTCCTTCCGGGCCTGGACATGTTTAAGGGAAAATCCCCCAGTGCTTTGGAAAATGCCGCCAAACAAGTCTGGCGACTCACCCGGGAAATGCTCACTAATGCCAATGCTTTTGAAAAGCTCTAAGGGGTTAAGGAGTGAAGGGTTAAAAGTGCACAGGATTGGGTACAGGAGAGTGGGTTAAAGATATATGATGGTAAGATTTTGAAGATGGCTAAGATTTACAGAAAATTTATTATAGGTTATTCTTTTTCTTCAAAATAATATTAATTTTTTGTTATTTTTCAAATTGTTTTTAAAGCAAAACTACTTTTTTTACAAAGAGGCTTAAGAAGTCTTTAAAGTTTTTAATAATTTATCATAAATGTAATTTGTGATTAAATTATATAGATTTTTTAACCTATATTTTTGAATTTCTTTTGAAGAAAGTCTCTACAGTAATTTTGAAAACTTTGAACTTTTAAAAATTGTTTTAAAGTAAATACTTATGTATATATTTATATTTACTCACAAAACTTGCTTTGCTTACTTAAAAATACCTTAAAATAAAATATTTTTAATTTAATATTCAACTTCTAAATTTTCTGTAATTTTTAAGTCACAACCAAAATCCTAACCATTTGAGGAGAAAAAGTGTGTTTAAAGAGTGCCAAGTGGATCAAAGATTGTAGATATATATCAAGATATATATACACGACCTTTGGCGGCCATTTTGTGCCATATGTGTGCTTGTGTCCGAGTGTGTGCTGGTGTGTGTGTGCTAAAGTGTTAATGCCGAGATGCGAGATAAGTCCACTCCCCATTCGACTCTGCCCATCCAGGCGTTACCGGCTAAGCCCTCGAATATTGTTTTTAATAACTCTCGCCCCTCACATCCACCAACCTCTCAACTTCTCATCCTCCGCACATCCTTTGTCCTTTGTTCTGAATGGGATAACAATGGACATGGATTCGGATTCAGGATATGTATAAAAAAAAAGAGCATTTGGCCTGACGAGGCGGCTCCTTTTACAGGAGTCTCGCATACTCGACCTTTGCGATTGTTTGGCAGTCACAGCCCAGATCCTAGATCAAAAATAATAATGAACAAAAAACTATATATTTAGTGGAGGGGGTGTACAAGATTTCATTGACCGTTCCAAGTCCAACTTATATTGTTTTTTTTTAAATACTTATTATTAGAAATATACAAATGTCGATGTCTATTATGCGATGCCTATAATCTTTACAATGATTATCCACACAGTTTGTTTTTTTTAAGTGCAAAATAATCCTAGATTGCTTAAGTGAAAAAAAGAAACTACTTGAATAAATTCAAGAATAGCCAAAGGCAATATATGGATTTTTTTTAAAGAGAAAATAGGTAGAGGAATTTATTTTAAGGAATTTGGATAGACCTATATGCTGAATATTTATTTTATTTGAAAGCTTAAGGTACAAATTCCTCAAAATACCTACTTAAAAAAAGAGTATCTCCATAACCTTAAAGCTCCTTTTATTTAAAAACCGTGAGAACCTAGAAGATACATTTCCACCTGAAGATGGAATCCCTGCGATGAGAGGAACTCATTAGGGCCTTTTTGGCGAGTGAGTTAGTGTTATGATTATTGGCAATCGAGTAATATTTATTCGCCAAGACATATCTTTGGATCGGCGAAGAGCGAAAGTATCTGTATCTGGGCAAGACAACGCACGTATCCGTATCTGTGTAGCTGAGAAGATGCAGCTGCAGGAACTGCGACAACTGAGCATCACTTTTATTACCCTTATTTATGGTTATATCTTTTCTGGCGGGAGGCTTCTCGAAAACAAAACCAAACCAAGCCAAAAAAATAAAAATAATAAAGTGAATTTTGGTTTTGGCCGCTTTTGTTCTGAGGATTCTTTTGTCTCCTCAGTCGCTTTCCATTCGCATTTATATTTATTTTTTTTTGGCGTAACGAAACGAAACGAAAACTTTCAGAGTAATGTAATCGATATTTTCACAAAAAGGTGAGGAGGAGCAGGAGCTCCAGCTACAGACTACAACTCCTGTGTTTCCATCTTTTAATGGAAAGTACGGAAAATAATCAACATCGTCGTCAGCACAAAAGGCAGGCACATAATAATGCGATAGCCAAAATAACAAATTATGCCCTGGCACGCAGGGATCATATTACCAGGCTTGCCAGCTTCTCTCTCGCTATCAGGTTAGGTAGGGGGATGGCTGAGGCAGGTCCTGGGAAAAGCATCATCAGGTGACCGAATCCAACAAACCGTATCCGTATTCCGGTGGATTGCCCATTTGGCCGCCAGCGCCAGGACACGTGACTGCCGGTTGGATTATAAATAAAAACCAGCAACAGCATAGACAAGGGAATGAGGACCTTCCTCCATTAGTCTGGTCCTCCAGGACCACAAGGACCATGTGCTCTACTCCAGCATCGATAAGGCACGATTTTCAGCTGTTTTGACAAATTGTATTCCAAATGAAATTAACAGGAGGGCTTGCCGAGGGGGAGTTGAAAAAATACAGCCAATTATAGATGAATTTTCAACAGGATCTATGGCAAAGGACTCTAAATAAAATAGAAAAGCTTGCTATATCTTTTTCTTAAATATTGTTTGCATGTTTTAATTAGCTTTTAATATTTTTCAGAAATAAGGAAAGAGATATCTTGGACATGTTCTATTATTAAGTTAAGCTTTATAAAATCAAAACATCCTATTAACATCCCAAACCTTCCTCATAAGTATATCCTAAACATCCTTATCCTTATATAAAATTTACCAAAAAGGGTAACTAAAATTCGACTCTAGTCCTTTTTCAAAAACTTTTCAATTTTTAAGGTTTTTCTTGCTGACATTTATATGCACCCTTCCTCCAGTTTAGTCCTGTCACTGCCACGCCTTGCGGCCTTTTGTGGGCGGTGACAGGATAAAGAGAGCGACTTGCTTTGTGGTCCCTTTTTTTCAGTGGGTCCTTTTGGTTCCTTTAGTCCTTTAGTTCTTAGTCCTTTGTGGCTTCTGGCTTTGTCGCACGTTTCTTTGTTTTAATTGTTTACTAATGATATTTAAATTAGTGCTCTAAGTGACCGCGGGCGGTTACCAGCTATCGCTCCCTCCCCCCCCACTTACCCTCGCCCCCCATCTCTCCTCTCTCCTCTCCCATCAGCCATTATACATTATCCATTATCCTTGTGGCTTTGTATTTTTGTTTGTTGTTTTGCATTTTTGACATTTCATTTGTTTAGATCTTCCTACTGGCGAGGGGCGACTGAATGGTAGATTCTTAATAATAAGGGGGTTTATAGATCTAAGAGGTTGAATTTAAGGTATTTAGTTTCTAGAACTTTAAAGAAAAAATACTGCATTTTTGGTCAAGTTATGACTATGGGAAGAGGCTTCAAATATTCCATACTATTCTTTAAATATTTTTGTATTTTAAAAAGCATTACCTCTCTTAGAACTGTCTCTGATCTTTCTGCTTGTCACTTGGCTGGGCGTAATTATGTCGTCATTATCAAAAACACGTGGTGCAATTTACCAAACACGCCAAAAAGGAGGCGACTCCTCGGCCTCGTACTGCTCCCATCAGGCAGGGGCGTCGTCTGGGCAATAGAAGAGTGGGCCGGGGAGCTGGAGGGGATCTCAGCACACGCCACAAATTATGAATATCAGAGAAATGTAGAAGATGAATGGCACAGGAAAATGCCAGCGGGAAACCGGGAGTGGGAAATTAGTTTTCCACGCATCGCCAGCAAACACAATGGAGCATCATTCCAGGGGCGGCCGGCACCTACACGTGATAATTTAGAGCAGATTGTCGCCTTCAAGAGGGGTATATATGTATATATACTATACACTTTAGAACCATCGTATTTTTGGATGGACATTTGCATTCAATTACGGCAGCTGTGAGCCGGCTCTGATTTATATTTATATGCACGCGTCTTCTCCAAAAGTCCCATAAAGGAAACCCCAAATTGTGCCACACAGCGGGGGCAACCAGGCAGGCAGGGGGATACAGGAGCATTGGTGCTGGAGAGCTGGGGGATTCAAATCTTTTAGAAAAAAAAGGGGGAAGAATATCTAGAAAATAAAAGAGTTTTTTTGGCGCTGCCTGCGTTCAATCATAATTATGTGATTTGTTTGCGACGCCGGCGCGTCCAACTAATTAAACGGAGGAGTGACAGAATGAGTGGGTGGATTGGGTGGAATGGGTGGATACTCCAAGACTAGAGGGGGGTGAGGATAAATCTGCAGGCCTGTTGACGGATTGTCGCTGATGTTGCCGTGCCCGGGTCTGAAATTATGACATTTTGATTTGAGCTCCATTTGATGTCTCTCAGCCGGGCCGCCACACTGATTAATGCCGCTGCCTCTATGAAAGGGGGAAATTGGGGAAAATTATTGCCCTGAAAATCCCTAGAGGAGTAGGAAAAAGGAAGTCGGGGCCAAGGTGAACTAATTAAGAGGCTAGAACCAGGCAGACGACTTGCAGCTGCCACAAAATTATGGTAGAGAGCAGGGCACTTAGCCATATTATGCAAATGACAAACAATTTGTAGAATTTTTGTTTTTCAAATAATATAAATATATTTCCCCCTTAACTTAACCCATTTTTTCTTATTATATATTTTATTTCTTTGTGCTACATGCAACAAGTGACAAGTAAGACGACATTCGGTGGCAACTGGGCATTGAAAAGTTTGAAGAAGGCCCCTGTCTCGATCGAGAGTTATCCCAAATCGATTAACATTATTAATGAATGCATATCATGGGAATAAGTGGGCATCCATGGGTGGGGTATGGCACTGTGTGTGTGTCACGAGGGGGTGGGGTAGTGGCAGTGGCAGGGTCAGGGGACAGGGGACAGGTGGAGCAGCAAAAGTCAAAACATGAAAAGGTTTTCAAACAATTTCAATTCTCAGAATCGAATCGAAACGGAATGAAATGAACTCCAGCGAAACATTGTCAACATGATCATCAACTGGGCCCCCGTTCCCCATCCCTTAATCTATCCCTCTCTTTCTGTTTCTTTTAGCCATCTCTTTCTGTGTCTCATATGCTCCGTCTCTGTCTCTGTCAACATATTTATGGGCCAACATTTTGGAGCTGTGATTGCGGTTAAGGTTGAGATTGAGATTGGAGGTAAAAATGCACTGGGAAAAATACTAAAAAATTATTTGCTTTACAGATTAAATAATAAATAGGTTTTTAGGATTTTAGAGAAACTATTTACGTAAGAAAATTAATAAAATCAAGCCTAAAATATTTTTTTTAAATTTATAGAACTTGTTAGAAAGGTCCTCCCTTTATTCCAAATGAAACCCTTACTTTTCAAAGTATTTTTTCCAGTGTCTATAGTCAGGCCCCGGGGGCTGTCCGTAGAGCAATGGAATGTCCAAATGTTCGATCATAAAACAAAGACCCAGAGCCACAGAAACCCAAACAGAAACCGAAATCGAAACCGAAACGGAGTTAAAGTCAAATTTTGTGGTAGACGGCAGCGAACGAGGTTGGAAACGAGTCGGAATCAATGCAGATAATATCAATTATATGTAAAAGATACACATGCATGCGATAGATACATTTGCCCCGATAAGAATTTAAAATATTAACATCAACAAGAAACACACACCATTCGGGGGAACCGTGTCATGGAATGTGTGTGAGATTCCCCCAACTATATTTTATACCCTTTTTTTTGTCAAAAAAGAGTATTCTGATTACCCTATAAAGACCTATTAAATACACTTGTTTTTATAATTGCATTTTATTTAAATTAAATTAGTCTACATCAATGTAATATAACTACATTTTATATATTCAAAAAAAAAAAACATAATAACCATAATTGCTAATCATAATTAAAAAAAATGAAATAAATTACAAATAAATGACAATTTTAGGCATTTCTTCTTCAGCAAACTATAAACAATACTATAATAAAATACAAGCTGTACTCCTGGGAACACTTTTTTTATAGCAGCCTAAACTGATCCCAAAGCCGAGACACACAGCGCTGTGTGGTGGATGTCTTGGCTTTACCTCCATGTCTTTATTCTGGTTTGCAACCATATTCTGATGATGGGACTTACTCTTTTGGCCCGCGAGTTTTGAAAAAAGTGTTCCAAGCAGATGGGGGGATTATTCATAATGGGGGATGGAGACCTTAATCCTTAATCCTTGCAGAACTCGGAGCGCAGGACATTCTCGGCACCGGATAGGATGGCGCCCTCGTTCTGGGGACACAGCTTGAGGTACAGATCCGTGGACTCCATCACCTCGATCAGGATATACTCCAGATAGATCCTGGGCGAAGACAGGATGCGCCAGGTAAGCGGATTGAGAATGCTGGTCGGATACTCCCAGTGTACGGTGGCGTATTCCGGATTCTCGAGATCCCGCCCGGCCACCACGGCCTTGTACTCGTAGCCCGGCTCAAAGTACATGGACTTTGTCGAGAACTTCATCAGCTCCGTGGAGGCTCGCTTCTTCTTGTGCATAGTCTTCCCATCGTGCACCCGGACGGACAGGATGCCCACCTCTCCGCCGTGCAGCGTGCTCTCATCGTGGGCGGACATTCGCACCGTGATCCGGTAGTGCAGCCGGCAGAAGGGCTTCCTGTCCCCGGTCCACAGATAGAAGACTCCGGGGGAGTCGCCCTGCTTGATGTGGCCGAGATTCACCTGCTCCTGGTAGTCCTCCTGGCTGTGATAGCCCATGCGCAGGCAGGTGTGTCCCGGTTCCTCGCAGCTGATGCATTTGTGGTCCTTGAAGCTCTGAAAGATTATAGAAGTTGTTAGAACCTTGTTGGGTTTAAGGAGAACCGGAAACTCACCTCAAAGGAGTCACAGGTGATGCCCAGGAAAGGGCACTTGGAGCCGATGCTCTCCGTGAAGTACTGCTCACTGCGGATGTGGTTGCAGCCGAGGAACTCCTGCATGGTCAGGAAGAGAGTGGCCTTCCGATTGCTCTTGACCACGTCCTGGAACTTCTTGTTGCAGCCCGGATTATCGAAGCCCCCATTGGGAAAGAAGTCCACATGCCCCAGACGCATATTGATGCCCAGACCGCCTTTCATCAGAGGATTTGCATCCGTGTGGACAATATCCACGAAATGGGCATCTGTGGGATCCAGACGGACAATGGGATCCGTATCCGTGAAGAGGGGAGCAGCCGGATCCAGTCCAGTAATCCTGTTCATCTTCAAGCCAAAGTCCCGCTGGAGATGGTAGCCCGCATAGCCGGACAAATGGGCGCCCAGGGAGTGGCCAATGATGTGGACTTTTGAGAGATTGGGCAGCTTCAGCTCCTCGTAGAGCATGTGCACCACATGGGCGGTAATGGCACCCACCAACCGGATATTCGCCACAGCCTGGACATACGGAGGACTGGCACCACCACCCCAATCTATCAGCACCACCGCCGCCTTGCCCTGCGGCTCATGATGCAGTAGAGCTTTAGCCAGGTCCAACATCCATGGTATCTCACCCGACTCCAGATACCCATGAACAAGAAGGAAGATCTTGCCATGCGGATCCACGCCCATGCCTTGGATACCATCCGGATCATTGAGATCCAAGTACAGTGGCTGATCCAGTTCCTTCCGCGTGTGCAACGTGAAATGGGGCTCTATTTCCGAGGGTTTCTGGGGATGCACGCCAATGGTTCGGGTCACCGTATTCCAGGGTCCATTGATGGGAAAACAGCCGTAGACGCCAAAGCACTTGACCTCGTTAATGTCTGGAAGGGATTGTGGGAAAAAACGAGGCAAGAATTATTGGAAGGCGAAGCGTGACTGGAAATTGTTGACGGCTTTATTTGGCCATAAACCCAGAGCAGGTGTCGATCTGATAAGGCCCATAACTATCAATAATAGCTCTTTTTCGGAATAGCTCAACGAAACCTGATAATGAGATTGTTTGGAAGTGACTTTTAGGCAAATCATTGGAATTATAATTAGCCTCAGGAAATAACTGGAGGATGGAAGCGCTTTAAAAATTATTTTAAAAAACCTTATCAAGATTTTTTTTTGATAAAAACTTAGTCCCAGTCCTTCCCAACTCTAAAAACTTCTTTAAAAAAATATTTAAAATTATAATAAAATAATATTGAACGACCTTAGAATAAACCCTGTTTGGTCTATTAACCGTCCCATGATTGTCGGAGCGTAAATCTTTAATAAGACCTTTCTTGTAGACCCTATTGCATTGATAATTCTCAAATAGGGTCCATAATTGAAAATATCTATTTTTTTGTTTGTGGCCTTCGAGTCAACGAGGCATGATAAACAGTGGTCGGAAATGGATATGGATATGGATATTTGGGAAGACCCCCCCTAAATAGCCTCCAGGCTGTCGTGTGCCTTCGTCTACCTCCAATATGAATCACTTCTTCCGCTCGACTGACCATTATCGTCATTCTTCTGACGCGTTTTCTTCTCTGCTCTGTCCCTCGAATCTATATCTTCTATATAGCTTTCCGCTTGTATCGGAAGTTTTGTCGATTAGATACGAAATAAAGCCATACGCCATAGAGAATCACACGATACTGTCCCTGATTTGCAAATCAAATTGCGGCAAGTGCACTTGTTTCCATGGAACGCTAGTTCTTTCGACTAGTTGGATGATAATGATCACTCATGTGTCCCCAAAAAGGTTGAGTGAACTGCCAATAAGTGTTTGATTGGAAAACAAACCAAAGCAGACCACTTAGTGGGCCTAAAAGCCCAAACAAAAGCTACAATTTGCCTAAGAAAAGTGGTAAGGTAATACTACTTTTTAAGCTTGACTTTGGTAACTATTTGGAAATAAAAACAAGGCCAAGATTTATCTAGAAAATGGCTCAGAAATTCATCAAGTCTTAGATCTATATCAGCCTCCTATATTTCTTAACAAAAAAAATAATCTACAAAAGTTCATTAAACCCCATTGGTTTTGTGCCACTTTTCGTGTAGCATATTGCAATCTGGATCTAGAGAGTGATTGATATGCCACATGTGGCACCCAGATCGAATGACTTACCACTTTTGGTTGCCGGTGGCAGGTCCACCAAGGTGTTGAGTGTCGCCCGACTGGTCCGATTAGCCAAATACAACATGGTCTGCAGCATTAGGCCGCCCGTGGTATTTGCCACATACATTTTGGATATTTTTTGTTAGTTTAAAGCCCTTTCTTTGAATCACTCTTGGATCATATTATTATGTCTCGTGGGGTGGGTGGTATTATTTTTTTGTCACTTTTGTTTTAGTCACAAATCACTTGAACTTCTAGTCGCCACTCGAGCTCTTATTTTTTTTTTTAATTCTTATCTAATGGCTAATGTACGAGTTGCGATCCAATAGATCGATCGATCGATCGCTTTGCTTTTTTCCACTTTTAATTAAATTAATCTTATCGACTGTCTCTTGGTTTGCCGTTAGATTTGCGGCCCTTCTGGCTAGCCTCCTCTATATCACCTCCTTGAGGTTATATATCTGTGTGAGATCTGGTGGATTCCCTACGATCCGTTTCACTTGAGAACCGTCCAAGCACTGAGCGGATCGGCGAAGCCCACGCAATTTTTATGCCCGCCCGAAGAACCCAAAAGCCGAAGTCAAGCCGAAGGCGAAAAAAAAGCGCATCCGAAGCCAGAGTTGATAATGCTGATAGTTTGGCTATTTTTTAACTACATTTTCTTAAATTTAAATTAAAAAATAAGCTAAAATTTAAAGGGTAAAATATATATTAAGGCCTATACTTTGGTATACATTTTGGAGTTCAAATTTAGGGCTTTATATTATTATATAGCTTTTAAGAAAATCTTTCATAGGTTTTTGTATATCTTATACATTTTAATATTTAATTTAAGACCATAATAGTCTCTTAATAACTCTTTCAAGTTCTTATATTAATTTAAAATAACAATAAATATTAAATACCCTCCTCTATAACATCATCACTGATCACTGATCTGTAGCACGCGACTTGGGGTCCGATTGTCGTGGGGGCGGGGATGCGTGCTTTGGCCCTGGTTCTATGATAACACCACCAAACCCATCAATTTTTTCGCTCAGTGCAGATGCAAAGTACATCAACGGCTGGCGGGCTGTTTTTTTTTTTGTTGATAAGCGGGTGGGTGGAGAGTGGAGGGGCTACACTGCAACGACAACAAAGTGACCGCCAGCGGATCCCAGCTGATAGGGGGCCCAGTGGGGGGTGGTAGGAGGTATCCCCCGATCGAAAATAGATGCAATAGTCAGTCCCTCCCTCGACTTTTTCCAGCAACAGATGTTTTTTGTTCCGAATAAACACTGTAGGAAAATATTTGTATACATTTTATAGTTTTAAGTTTCAAGAAATGATCAGAGAAAAATATTTTAAGGTTTTAGGTAACAGCTAGGTCAGATTTATTTCTAGGAAAGTACTCAGTTTAGTTTTTACAGATGTTTTCTAAGAAAAAAAAAATCAATAACAGATATTAGATATATATATACATATATAGGTATATAGTTTACTTACGAATAAAAGTTATTTTTTAATCGTTGATTCGAAACACGTGAAAGTCATTATTCTAGTCAATTATACTTTGAAATCTGATGATTTATTTTAGAGCTTAAGATAAATTATCCTACATCTATATAATGTGAATTATAATATACTTATAATTATAATATAAACATTAGACATTATGTTTTAATAAATACTTTTACAAAATACCTTAAATAACTAACTATACGCCTATTTATTTTTGTGAGTGTCCCAATCGAATATATTTCCTCGGAAACTGTGTCAAGTGACAGGCCCCCCAAATGCCCCCCTTCGACAGGTGGTGTTAGTGTCAGTGTCTGGCTGGTATTCCCGTTTCCATTACCGTTCGGAATAACGTTATCAGTGGCAGAACATAATCCCGTTTCGCTTTCGAGGCGTCCAAAGTCCGGAGAAGGTGTTTACGGGTTTTTCGATCGGTAAAATCCACCAGGATCTCCAATATTGCGCCCATTGACGTCAAGATGAAACAAACTCTGATCGATGACAGACAGCAGAGGGTAATCTTGTTATCACAGCCAAGTAAATACATATATTATAAACACATTCTTTATTCATCTTTGTCATTATTTTGTGTTTACGACACTTTCTGCCTTGTGCGAGTGTATATTTAAAAAAAAAAACAAAACTCTTCTTTCATCAACATCTATCAAAATATACAAAATAAGCATTTTGCAACTTTAAGATACTTTGAAGAAGATGACTCAAAAGCTGCTTACTTCCGCATGACAGCAGCCATATAAAAATAAATCTCTATATATAATTATTTTAATAGACATATATGTATATATAGCCACTTGATCCGATAAGCATCGAACTTTGAAACCAAAAATTGATTCCGGTTCAAAAATCCACTTGCATTGCCTTCGCAATTCCACACTCAGAGCCAAGCCCTCGCTAATGTAATTGTTTACGGAATCCGAAACACAACCAAAATCGGTTATAAAGTGCATTCTATACTGCATATACTTCTCTATACTGCATATTAAATCAAAGTTTATTTGCAGCGAACGTAAACAGTAGCCTGGAAATCGAGCAAACAATCTGGAATATTAAATAACTACGTCGATGTAATCAGAGGCAGGGCCAAGAGACCCCCAAGGAGATTACTGTTTACGTAGATCAGTGTCAGCTCGAAGCCTTTTCAAAAATTTTGATGGAGAACATAGATATTAAACATAACAAATTCTATCCGATCCGGATAGAATAAAGTGCCATTTTGTAATTAGCGAACCCAAAAGCGACTTTCCTCATTCAAAACATTGCTTAAATATCGTTTTGAAATTTTTAGAAATTTTTCTTAGGGGTACCCCTACAAAAATGTGGATTTTCGCAATTTCCCCACTTTTGCTCCTTTGGGCTCGATTTTTGGCAAAAATCCTGGGGGTTCCCCTTGGAAAAGTGCGAATTCGGTTTTTCCTCAGTTTTTGGCGAATATCTTGGCTATTTCGCAACCGATCGTAAAAAGGGATGCCATTTAGGAATCAGGGATCTTTTCGCCGTCGATCTGCATCCAAGGATTCCTAAAATCCTCCAAAAAAAATTTTGGCTCGATTTTTGGCAAAAATCTTGAGGGTTCCCCTTGGAAAAGTGCGAATTCGGTTTTTCCTCAGTTTTTGGCGAATATCTTGGCTATTTCGCACCGGATCGTAAAAGGGATGCCATTTAGGAATCAGGGATCCTTTCGCCGTCGATCTGCATCCAAGGATTCCTAAAATCCCCAAAAAAATTTGGCTCGATTTTTGGCAAAAATCCTGGGGGTTCCCCTTGGAAAAGTGCGAATTCGGTTTTTCCTCAGTTTTTGGCGAATATCTTGGCTATTTCGCACCGGATCGTAAAAAGGGATGCCATTTAGGAATCAGGGATCCTTTCGCCGTCGATCTGCATCCAAGGATTCCTAAAATCCTCCAAAAAAAATTTTGGCTCGATTTTTGGCAAAAATCCTGGGGGTTCCCCTTGGAAAAGTGCGAATTCGGGTTTTCCTCAGTTTTTGGCGAATATCTTGGCTATTTCGCACCCGATCGTAAAAAGGGATGCCATTTAGGAATCAGGGATCCTTTCGCCGTCGATCTGCATCCAAGGATTCCTAAAATCCTCCAAAAAAAATTTTGGCTCGATTTTTGGCAAAAATCCTGGGGGTTCCCCTTGGAAAAGTGCGAATTCGGGTTTTCCTCAGTTTTTGGCGAATATCTTGGCTATTTCGCACCCGATCGTAAAAAGGGATGCCATTTAGGAATCAGGGATCCTTTCGCCGTCGATCTGCATCCAAGGATTCCTAAAATCCTCCAAAAAAATTTGGGCTCGATTTTTGGCAAAAATCCTGGGGTTCCCCCTTGGAAAAGTGCGAATTCGGGTTTTCCTCAGTTTTTGGCGAATATCTTGGCTATTTCGCACCGGATCGTAAAAGGGGATGCCATTTAGGAATCAGGGATCCTTTCGCCGTCGATCTGCATCCAAGGATTCCTAAAATACTCAAAAAAAAATTTTGGCTCGATTTTTGGCAAAAATCCTGGGGGTTCCCCTTGGAACAGTGCGAATTCGGTTTTCCTCATTTTTGGCGAATATCTTGGCTATTTCGCACCCGATCGTAAAAAGGAATGCCATTTAGGAATCAGGGATCCTTTCGCCGTCGATCTGCATCCAAGGATTCCTAAAATCCTCAAAAAAAATTTTGGCTCGATTTTTGGCAAAAATCTTGAGGGTTCCCCTTGGAAAAGTGCGAATTCGGGTTTTCCTCAGTTTTTGGCGAATATCTTGGCTATTTCGCACCCGATCGTAAAAGGATGCCATTTAGGAATCAGGGATCCTTTCGCCGTCGATCTGCATCCAAGGATTCCTAAAATCCTCCAAAAAAATTTTGGCTCGATTTTTGGCAAAAATCCTGGGGTTCCCCCTTGGAAAAGTGCGAATTCGGGTTTTCCTCAGTTTTTGGCGAATATCTTGGCTATTTCGCACCGGATCGTAAAAAGGATCGTGCGAATCGTAACCGAATTCGCACTTTTCCAAGGGGAACCCTCAAGATTTTTGCCAAAAATCGAGCCAAAATTTTTTTGGAGGATTTTAGGAATCCTTGGATGCAGATCGACGGCGAAAGGATCCCTGATTCCTAAATGGCATCCCTTTTTACGATCGGGTGCGAAATAGCCAAGATATTCGCCAAAAACTGAGGAAAACCCGAATTCGCACTTTTCCAAGGGGAACCCCCAAGATTTTTGCCAAAAATCGAGCCAAAATTTTTTTGGAGGATTTTAGGAATCCTTGGATGCAGATCGACGGCGAAAGGATCCCTGATTCCTAAATGGCATTCCTTTTACGATCGGGTGCGAAATAGCCAAGATATTCGCCAAAAACTGAGGAAAAACCGAATTCGCACTGTTCCAAGGGGAACCCCAAGATTTTTGCCAAAAATCGAGCCAAAATTTTTTTGGAGGATTTTAGGAATCCTTGGATGCAGATCGACGGCGAAAGGATCCCTGATTCCTAAATGGCATCCCTTTTACGATCGGGTGCGAAATAGCCAAGATATTCGCCAAAAACTGAGGAAAAACCGAATTCGCACTTTTCCAAGGGGAACCCCCAGGATTTTTGCCAAAAATCGAGCCAAAATTTTTTTTGGAGGATTTTAGGAATCCTTGGATGCAGATCGACGGCGAAAGGATCCCTGATTCCTAAATGGCATCCCTTTTTACGATCCGGTGCGAAATAGCCAAGATATTCGCCAAAAACTGAGGAAAAACCGAATTCGCACTTTTCCAAGGGGAACCCTCAAGATTTTTGCCAAAA